GTGGGGTTAAGTCCAAGAAATACTACTGGGCTTCTTAACCCAAAGCCTGTTCCAAAACACATCACCGTGAAAATGGTTGTTGATCACATTAAAATATATTTTTCATGAGAGAAGAATGAAAAAAAAAATCATGCCAGTAAGTAATACATGCCAGATTATGAGAGTGGCACATAATACGAGCGACAAGTGCTTGCCAACAGATCTGCACCAGAGGAAATAACTCAGCAATATTGTCACCTATGGGCCAATTTATATTGTCAGAAAGCGGATTCTGCATTAGTCTCCGGAGCCGATGCAGTAATGGCATATTCTAGGAATAAAGCACCAACAGCCTATGGGGACAGCCTCATCTCTTTTTCATAGGCGTGCTTTAAGACCCATTCAGAGCAAAGCAATAATAATAATAATAATAATAATAATAATAATAATAATAATAATAATAATAATAATAATAATAATAATAATAATAATAATAATAATATAAAAAAGGGAGGACAAAAAAAAAAGAGGAATGGAAGAGGACGCAAAGATGACGTATGGGTAGAGCTTAAGCCAGTGATGGCAAACCTTTTAGAGATCGAGTGACCAAAAACTGGCCCCGCCCCGTTCCACCCCCTACCCCGCCCCCACCCTGCCTGCCTGCAGGGCCACTCACCGCCTCCAGGGCCCGCCGCAGATCGCCCAGGCAGCCCAGCAGCGCCATGGCGGCCACGCCCTCTGCCCGCGCCCCGCAGCATCAACTGCGTGCGATGGAGTGTGAGGGCAGAGTCTTGTCTACACGGCCTGGCTGCCATGTCCTTGGCTGTGGTGCTCCACGTGGGCCATGCTCAGGGGCAAATTTCCTCCAGGGGGGCTGCTGGTGAGGAGGGGGTCGCGGGAGGAGGCAAGGCTGGGGCAATGGCACATGTGCCCACAGAGAGGGCTCCGAGTGCCGCCTCTGGCACCCGTGCCATAGGTTCGCCACTGCTGGGTTAAAGCATGTCAAGCAGTTCAGACATGTAAAAAAAGGAGTCGGGGGTGGGGGGTGGGGTGTCAAACATATGATTGTGGTTGCCAACTTGACTTTCCTGACCTCCTTTAAGCCCAGGCTTTGGGTTTGCCAGAAGTATTCTTAGGACGCTCATCTATATACAGCCTCTATGTAATGAGATATGTCAGATCTATAAATCAGAAGGGTATTAATCATCTTGGAGGGTGTGAGATGTTTGCCGCTGGAAAATTGCAACCAACTCTAATTAAAAAGATTTTGAGACGAAATTAAACAAGAGGATGACGTTTCCAGTGGATGTTAATCATGATGGCCAAGCATTCAATTTTACTTTGCAAACTTTGGCTCATCTCAAAATAAATAAATAAATCTAAGCGGGCTTGGAACTTGGGAGAGAAAGGCTTTCTATGATTTTGTGTGTGCGTGTGTGGGTGTGGCACACGTATATTTGTCCTTGGTGCTGAGCTTGCTTGTTTTCTTGCAGACACTTCATTACCCAAACTAGGTAACATCATCAGTGCTAACACTAGTTTGAGTAAAGAAACTGCAAGAAAACAAGCTCAGATATAATAATAATAAAGTTGGAAGGGACCTTGGAGGCCATCGAGTCCAACCCCCTGCTCAGGCAGGAAACCCTACATCATTTCGGACAAATGGCTATCCAGTCTCTTTCTTAAAAACTTCCAGTGTTGGAGCATTCACCGCTTCTGGAGGCAGGTTGTTCCACTGGTTAATTGTTCTAACTGTCAGGAAGTTTCGCCTTACTTCTAGGTTGCTTCTCTCCATGGTTAGTTTCCATTTGTTGCTTCTTGTTCTGTCTTCAGGCGCTTTGGAGAATAGCTTGACTGCTTCTTCTTTGGGGCAGCCCCTGAGATATTGGAAGACTGCTATCATGTCCCCCCTCATCCTTCTCTTCATTAGACTAGACATACCCAATTCCAGCAACCGTTCCTTATATCAGGGTTTTTCAACCTTTTCACCCATTGTACCACTTTTAGGATATGGCAACATCCGAGTACCACCAGTCGCCTAGAGCAAGGTGTCAAAAACTTGATGACACCCCCCCAAAAAAGGAAAAAAGTGATGAAGTACTGGTAGTCATCGACTTACAACAGTTCGCTTAGTGACTGTTCGAAGTTACAATGGCACTGAAAAAAGGGCCCCCCAAGCCACAGCCGAGCAAGACACCTGCCTGCCCGCCCGGCCACACTCTTCCTCCTGTCCGAGGTTTTCATTGTTGTGAGCATTTCTGTTGAGGATTGGCAGCAGGGGTGGGGTGGGGGGTGTTTGGTCTTTATTCCTCCCCCGTCTGCTGGGTGGTTGCAGCAGGTTTTGGTCACTTCACATGACCCTGGGACATTGTGACCGTCATAAATACGAATCAGTTGCCAAGCATCTGAATGTCAATCACAAGACCCTGGAGATGCTGCAACATTCCAGCTGATTGGCGCTTCTTCTGGGCTCAGCGGAAGCGCCAGGATCAGCGCCGAGCTCCAGCTGGAGCCTGACATTTCCACTGAGCCCTAACAGCCCCGAAGAAGCACCGATCAGCTGGAAAGCGGCACTGATCCTGGCGCTTCCACTGAGCCCTGACAGGCTTGCAGCTCCAGCCATCTCTCGCTCAGGCTTCTGCGGTGCTTCCACCGGTTCAGCTCATTCCCCTCCCCCACTACCACTTTTCTAGGATGGTCCCGTATCACCTGCCAGGTGCCAATGTACCAATGTACCACAGGTGGTACCCGTACCACTGGTTGAAAAACCCTGCCTTATATGTTTTAGCCTCCAGTCCCCTAATCATCTTTGTTGCTCTTCTCTGTACTCTTTCTAGAGTCTCAACATCTTTTTTACATCCCGGTGACCAAAACTGGATGCAGTATTCCAAGTGTGGCCTTACCAAGGCGTTGTAAAGTGGTACTAATACTTCACGTGATCTTGATTCTATCCCTCTGTTAATGCAGCCTAGCACTGTGTTGGCCTTTTTGGCAGCTGCAGCACACGGCTGGCTCATATCTAAGTGATTGTCCACTAGGACTCCGAGATCCCTCTCACAGTTGCTACTGTTGAGCAAGGGACCACCCACCAGAAGTGATGAAGCTTCTTGGATTACAAGTGAAATGTCTTTTTCTTCTCCAAGGAAAAATAAAACCTAGTCCAGTTGCCTTTTGAAAAAGCACCTTGGAGACAGCCAAGCTCAGAGAGCACCAGCACCCCTCATTTCAACCCTGGGTTACAAATATTCTCCTTTATTGATATATTTGCAGGGGACAAAGAGGCATTAGTGCGCTGTAGGAAGTCACCAAGAACCTAGTATTTCTTGAAAGATTTTATATGAATCAATGCCACGGCCAAGAGGTTCTGCTTTTGCATATACTCATCCATTAAACTATATGGTTAGATGAAAGATTTCCTTGTATTGAAAAAGCCTAAAATTCAGCCACAGGAGGAGAAAGAGGAAAAGGAATAAATAAATAAATAGGCTTTAACTCACCAGCCATTTGTTGAATGCCACTGAAGGCACCCAAGTTGCTGGAGGATGTTGCTTGCTGCAGAAGCTGCAAATTAACAATAACAACATCAATGGGGTTAATAACACAACAACTTAAGATGAAAGCAAAATTATCTGAATCAAATTAAATTTGGGATACTTATAGTTTCCTTTACATTTATACAGTCTCTTGCTTCTGCCTGGTGTTGGAATGAAGGTCCCCAGAGTGGATGCTGTAAATCCATATTAATGTCTAATCTCTATTAAGAAACACACAGACACTGGGGAAACTCAATAACATTGCTGCTTTAAAACAATTAATCAATTTACTCTTTTTTTTTTAACAGCTAGGTGCTAAATCTGTTTCAGCCCATCATAGCGTCACTAATCATTGCCCTCTGCAGTCTAGCAGTTAGCATAACTCATCCTGGTTAATCCCAAGAGCATTTTCCACCTCCCCACTTAAAAAGAGAAGCTGGTTTCCTTAAAATGGTTTGTGGGACTGGTTCACAAAAATGCATAACCTCACAATGGGCTGTTCTTTTCCACAGAACTGTGTTCACCCAGGAAATCAAAGGCGATCTGCATGCCAGCGCACTATTTTAGTAATCCAACTGTATAGAATATTCACCTAGGTGCAACTGATTGATTTTTGGAGGCAGTTGATGTATCCAGTTGCCAATCATCATTACTGAGATACTGTATAAAGGGAGAATCTTGGAACCAGCCCCTGGTCATACACATAATCTACTTCACCCATTGGCTTAAGTCTTGGTTTGTTTAATCATGGTTTCCTGGATAATCCACAATTGGCTGGGATCACAACACAGGCTAGGAAACAAACCATCACTTACAAACCACAATGGCTGGTTTCGCATAACATGTTAAATCAAAATGAGTCAAACCATGTTTGAGCTTAGTGTAATGTGTGAAAGACGGAACTATTTCTCATTGGATCACTGATGATTCCAAGTGACGTGGAATTTGTAATAACAGACAGAGCCTCCCAATGTAAGGTTTCATTGTGAATGAAAAGTTAAAATGCATATGAAAAGGTGTCAATTATCAATGAATGTGCATTAGGGAGGAAATAAGGACACGGTGAGCATTTTGGGAAAAGGTATGCAATTTTCTGCATGAAGGAGATGCAGGAGAGAAAAATAAAATCTGCTAGGTGACATGAATGGGATGGGGGGAAAAGACAGATTAATCCCCCAACAGAATTAAGGGAAATGAAAGAGGAGGAGAATGTGAAATCTGCTTGGAATAGAATTAAATGAATTATATTACCAAGTGCTGCAGAAGTGTGTGGCGTTCCCCTAATGAGAAGCATGAAAAAGGATGGAGGGAGAGAGGTTGTGGATGAAAAAAAAGTAAATAAAAGGAAAATTGAGAGAAAGACATTGCATAAAGTGTATAGAGAAGAAAATAGTAGTGTGTCAAAGAATGGAACTGAAATTAATACTATAAATCTTCGTGCCAAAGGGGGGGAAAAATGACGAAAAGAAAATTGTAAATCCTGGGGAAATGTTGAAAAATGTATGGCTAATAGATGGTATAACTGGGCTTGATTTGTTATGGTGACCCTATCTATTTGTGTCACTTGTATGTGAAGACAGTGTTTCTGTCTGATAAACTGGATAATGTCAGCATTGTTTTCTTATTCAAAGGAAAAGATAGCAACAGTGAATGCAAATATATATAGGGTTATCAGTTTGCTAAGCATGGAAATGTGTTTAGCAATATTCTGAAAAGTTGTGAGAACTGAACAAAACTTGGGAAATGCCTTTATGCTGGGCAACAGATGTCCTCTCCAGATTTTTGGATTTCAGCAGATAATTGAGAAACACGAACGTAAGAAAGCTTATTGTACCTTTGTTGGTTTAAAGAATGCATGTAAACTCGAATTATTGAATGTTGAACATTCATTGAATCTTCATTATGTGACTACCAGAATTAATCATTCAACATCAAGCATGTAATAAGACCTGGATGTTTGAGAGGGACTTAGTTATTAATATAACAAATGTATATGGAAAGCTTATGATGACATTAGAAGTATGTTGTGTGTGGGCATGAGAATGAGTATGTATCCTTACATGCAAATGATGCATTAATGGTTAAAAATCCCAAATGATTGTAGTGAATATCAAACTGTATGATGCACAGAGGAAATGGATCTGAATATGGCAAAAAAGTAACATGAATCTCTGTGTGTTGGCAGAATGATTGTTTGAAATTGGGAACAAGGAAGGAAAAAAGGAAGCAAGGAAGATTAAAACTTTCAAATGGTAGTAAAATTATAATAGGCAGTGTGTGATTAGTGTGAAGAACGAAAGCTTGTTGAAAAAAGCAGTTGTTGATAAAAATGAGCTACTGTCTATATCAGATATGTCTAACCTTGGCAACTTTAAGACTTGTGGACTTCGACTCCATCGCTGACTATAGGGGGCGAAACTTTGGCCCCCTCGGAGAGGGTACGCAGCTTGGGCGTCCTCCTGGATTCGCGGCTGACGCTGGAAGACCAGCTGTCGGCCGTGACCAGGGGGGCGTTTTATCAGGTTCGCCTGATTTACCAGTTGCGGCCTTTTCTGGACCGGGACGCCCTACGCACGGTCACTCACGCACTTGTCACCTCCCGCCTGGACTACTGTAATGCTCTCTACATGGGGCTCCCCCTGAGG